TCGAGCCTAAAAAACCATAAAAAACGGAGCGCAGTCTAAATGTTTGGTGCAGGCTCACATTCGTGCCGGTTCGCATAAGACTGTGGGGCCCACAAAGTGCGGGCCCCCGCTCGCCCCTGTCTAAGGTCGGTTCTGGTCACGTTAATGAAAAAAAAAACAAATACATATTAATTATAGCAACTTGTAGACAATAATTATTTTTTTGTATAAATCATCTGTAAATGGTTTGAAGTAATTTACATATCAATAATCATCTTTCCCAATTGATATTGTATCCTTGATATATTCAATATTTCATTATGACAATTATTACGTCAAATGTATGAATGCAATCTTGTATCAGCATTGACTAATTTCTAATGTAATTTTAATTAAAATAATCACATTTCTCCAACTGACATTACAATTGTTATTCAATTGTTTAATTATTTTTTTTGACAATTATTACATAAAATAGATGCACAAAATCTCTCAAAAAAAAAACAACAAACTATAATGAAAATGCTTAGGTAATAATTACATAAACGTGCAGTTAATAATTATTGTTGTAAAAATCATGCAAACATAGTTCGCATCTGCATTGACTAATTTCTAATGTGATTTTAATCTGAAATTTCAAATTGACAACAATTGTTATTTTTAATTTATTTTGACAATTATTACGTCAAATGAATAAATATATTCAGAGTGTTATGAAAATGCTTAGATAATAATTAGAAAAACGTGCAGTTAATAATAATTGTTGCTATAAAAATGTTTATATGTAATTTCTAATGCAATTTTAAATGACATTTTTTCAAGTTTCATTACAAATGTTTCATTTAAAAAAAATATTTTGACAATTATTACGTCAAATGTCAATTTTTTTCCAACTGACATTACCCATGATGATATATTGATTGTTACATAATTGATTCATTTTTATTCTGAATATTTTTTGACAATTATTACTTCAAATGGATGAATAAAAGCTCCCAACAAATTGCTTAGGAAATAATTACAAACAAAAAGTGCAGCCAATAATTATTTGTATATAAATCATGATAAAATGTATCAAATCTGTTTATTTTAAATGCAATTTCAATTGAAACAAACGTTTTTCAAATCATGTTATTAATGAGATATTGATTAGAATTGTTAAGCATTTTTGTAATTTATTTTGACAATTATTACGTCAAAATGTAGGAAGATAACTTTACAATAACCCTAAACTTTCTTTGGTATTAATTATATAATTGCGTTGTTAATTATATTATTGTAATGATTGTAATGTAAATTATATACAAATGTCGACTTATTTCAAATGCAATTTCAATAAAATGTGATTATTCACATTTTACAACTGACAAATAAAATTGTTGCTTTTTTACTCCCAATTCATTTGACAATTATTACGTCAAAATGTTGTAAGAAAACTTCCCAATAAACCTAAAATTGATTAGGTAATAATTACATAATCACATTGTCAATTTTATTATTGTAATGTGAATTATATAAAAATACAAATTCAATTGAAATAATCACATTTTACAACTGACATTATCCATGGCACATAGAATTGTTTCATTTTTTTCCCCCAATTTATTTTGACAATTATTACGTCAAAATGTAGAAAGATAACTTTCCAATAACCCTAGAATTGCTTACGCAATAATTACATAATTGCGTTGTTAATTTTAATATTATAATGTAAATCATATAAAAATGATTTTAATGTATATCGACTTATGTAATTGTTGCATTTTTTCCCCAATTCATTTGATAATTATTACGTCAAAATGTAGGAAGAAAACTTCCCAAAAAACCTAAAATTGATTAGGTAATTATTACTACGTTGTTAATTTTAATATTGTAATGTGAATTATATAAAAATACAATTTCAATTGAAATAATCACGTTTTATAACTGACATTATCCATAGCACATAGAATTGTTTCATTTTTTCCCCAATTTATTTTGACAATTATTACGTCAAATGTCTGTATGGAATATGCCAATAATTGCTGATTGCAACTAAATTGCTTGTGTAATAATTAGCGAAACGTGTAGCCGATAATTATTGTAACGTAAATCATTAAAAAAAAAGTTTTACTATGCAGAACAAATGCCGAGAAATTAAAAAGAAAATTGTTATTTGCGTTGCGGCTTTTGCACTTTGCCATTGAACAAACAACAAAAGTGGCAACAAAACTGACATTTAACAAAAATAAATATTGCATCAGAGATGCGGAGACCGACGTACGTGTATATAATTAGTCGCGGTATGCCTGAGATAAGAATGCTTTGCGGCTGGAGGAAGGAAGACGAAAAAGAAGAAGAAGACGTATATAATGTCTTTAGGGTTTAATACTCTTCGGTAACGTAACGTTACTCGAATGCAATGAAGTTGAGAAGGTGAAACAGCAATTACACAGTATCCACATGCAGTCTAGTTGCGTTGAATTTATACGCCGCCCCTATATGCATGGGTTGCCCATGCCGCAGACGTTGCTGGATCGTGATGAGGAGGATGTGTGGTAAGAGTTCACGTGAAGGTCGTACCAGTCTTGGTATGCTGAACTTCGGTGCATACCACGGTTCTCCTCTGTCTCCTCCTCAGAATCCTTAACCTCTTCTTCTTCTCCTCCTCCTCTCTACGTTCCGTAATCTCGCTGCATTAAATTCTTATTGAAAGTGTTTACTTATCAAACACTCACTCTCACAGATTCCGACGATGCTCTACTTACTAAACCAAACAATTGCAATACACTACTAACTTGATTATACTACTCTTTATTTCGTGCATTACATTGTAATCCAAAACAATTGCAATACACGACTAACTCGATGATTTTACTCTTTTTATTTCGTACATATTACATTGTAATACAGACAAAGATTATTTCACAAATTACGACAATTCCTCTCGTACGTTATGCTTCTACAAGCAGAAATACAACGCATTATTATTCGTACCCATCAACTTGCAAACATTTATTACTTTTTTCACTCGAAAACCGGATATTCGAACGTTTTTGTTCCCTCAATCGGAACGAAATTTACCCCATGCATAAATATACAGGTTTAATCCAGATAATACACACACATATCACATTTTACCAAGTAATTTGACACTTTTTTAAAATTTAAAATATTTAAACAATAGTGTTTTTAAGGATATAATTCAAGCAGTGTCCTTAACAGTCGTTGTTTAACTTTCAATTGAACTGTCAAACGTGACGTATCGAACGAACTCCGAAATCTAATAGGATAAGAAGGAAAATTTTTGTCTATTTTAAGATTTTTTCTATTTGTTCAAGTAATCTCTTTCGATCATTCATTTTTATTGTTTTTGGTGATTAATAATACAAAATCCGTTGTGTAAATCGAAATATCATCGACAAGATAGAACAAATAATAATTACATTCGATACGCGTTTATCTTCTGTGTGCTTTCGACGCTAAATCAAAAATAAATAACATTTCGTTGTACATTCAACCAACACATTTTTAATTAACAACAGAAAAAACATGAATTGTTGTTTGTTTCGTCTTTGGGAATTAAAATGTATTTAGTTTATATGAACAACGAAATACTTATTAAAAAGATATTAGAAGTAATTTAGTTACTGAAATTTGCATATACATAAAAATAATCCTTTCTAGATATTCACGTAATTATTTCCATCGTTGAAATGTTCAGTTTTTACAAACAATTCGATGTTGTTTTCTTCGATAATTTGCTGCAAATTCAATTGGATTTTTGATATAAGTTAACAAATAGTTTCACATTTTAGTAAATTTCTAAATAATCACAGAATCAATACGTTGATATTTTCAAAAGTTTATAATAGATGTAAAAATTTGAAGCTAAAGTCATCATTAACTAAGAAAAGGAAACGAAACTATTTCGTTTTGTTTCAGCAATTTTTTAATTCACTTCATATAAAATTAGTAACATATTTTTTATACATATAAATTAAATATACATAAAAATGATTAATATGTTGCAATATTTATAAAGAATGTTTACAATATACTTTTTAATAATTAAGTTCAGAATGAGGTCTGAATTGACAAATTGGAGTTGACAAATAGTTTCTTGCAGGTTTTGGAGACGAGAAACAAAGTGTAAAGAAATAATCTTAATTCATTCACGAGTATTTCTTCAGTCATTGTCTATATCGGTTCAATGTTACCGATGTAGTTAGTTAGTATATAGCTTTGATACTGCATTTAGAAACTCGTTGTTAACGTTGATGGTCTGAAGAAATACCAAGAGTCGAGTCGTTGCATAATTGGACGTAATTCCTCTCGATGTTATTACTATAGGCATTCCAATAAAACGGTAACGATCTTAAATTGGAACAGATCGAACAATAAACACCAGAACGGACGAGATCAAGTGACACAAATTGATAAGGTTCGGCCTTTACATGAGAAAAATGTATATGTTATAGTCGTTCATTCAGCAAATCGAAAACCAATAAAACTCTTCATCAATGAACTATTTCGATCTTCCGAGTGAATTTTTACCACCTAAAGTTTGAAAATAAACATAGAGTCAGTGCACTGTAAAATCCAAAATTACCTGCCTTAATTACAGCACTTCAATGAGATATGCTGCAACTAGAAATCGAATTCGAATTCATTTTCATTTAACAACAATTAGCGAATTTGAATTGAAAACCAAGAATTGAATTGAAAAACAAGAGTTGTTAATTTTTGTGAAAAGCCGCACAAAAATATTACGTGCAAATTATGAAAAGAAGCTTACCTTGTTTTGTTTGTTATTGTACGAATGTGTAAAATTAAACGCAGGAAAAATAAAGAAAACACAAGTTCACGATCCGACTACACCATCACCTTCACATCTCCAGTCAAACTAAACAAGAATGGACTCTTGTGTACTCTATTGTAAACAAAAAAATGCTACAAACGGTCGCAGACGTTCCCCGCTACGATTCTCTTCCTTCCACCAATTGCGTAAAAACGTAACGTAGGTTTATTCCCACTTCGAAAAGTTTGTTTTGTATACGTAGGGGGCGCTTCTGTAGGATAATCTAACCTTTAAATTGTACCTGCAAAGTCTTCGTTAGGGTAGTTTCATTTGATTCTGTTTCGCAAACATGGGTAGAAGGTATTACTGTGATTACTGTGATAAAGTGTTTATAGATGATTTGGATGCAAGGAAGAAGCATCTCAATAGTGCCCATCACTTGAAGTTGAGGAAAGTACACTATGACTTGTTTCGAGGTAATATATTAGTTCTTATTCTTTACATTCAGTTTAATTCAATTCAATTACAGATCAGAAGACTTTGCTGCAAGAGGAGAGTGTGAAAATACCATGCCGAAGATTTTTGTCAGGTGGCTTCTGCCAATTCGATTCAAGCTGCAAATATACACATTATTCAGTGGAACAATTGTGGCAGATCAAAAATCAGAGTAAGCTTAATTACCTTATAACAATTTTTTTTTTCAACTGTTCAAATTGTGAGAATGATTTTAAGTTGATGTTTATTTGGGTGAGTCATAGGTATAACAATTGGTAATGTAAATTTAAATTGCAAGAGGATGTGGTTTTTGTTTAAGTAACTAAAACGAAATACGTTTCGTAATTGGGCTTTGTAAATAGAGTTTAATTTATGCAACTGTGTCAGTTCTTCAATTAATTATAAGCATAGTTGATTATATGTGTTATTAATGCATAGAACTAACAGAGAGTTTATTTAGGCAACACTTTATACGTTAGTTGTCAATGCAAGAGAAGTTATCTGTTGTTTATGTTTGTTTTAGATAAGTTGCGTTATGTTTACAGAAGGTCTTGTAGTAGTAATCTTCAAGGGTTTGAAGTAGCAAAGATTTATTACTCAGTAAATGACTAAAATTGTTTACTTGTAGAAAGTGTTACAAGCGTTCTTAATTTTTATTTATGATGTACTTGCACTTTCTCTTGTTGCTGATTGAAGGTATACCTTATTTGGATCTCAATAAACATTGAATTTATGATGTACTCTATACAATTTTAATATCTATACTGATTTTACTGCTATCAATTCAAGAGATTGTATTAAAACTATTTTGTAATTTCAGTTGAAGCCGAAGAGCAAGCGGAATTCTTGAAGAACAATTCAAGTGCAGAGGTGCCTCCTGTGGAAACTTGGATGGAAAAGTACGGGGAGCAGAAGAATCTGAAAAATGAAGAATTCGTGTCGACCTTTTGGAGTTATCCGGAGCAGTTGGAAACCAGACCGGATTTGCCGCCGTCTTTGAAGAAATTCCAACCCGAGTATTTCACCGACGATAATTTCGCCGATTGGGGTTAATTGAAATGATGCAAATGTACTTTTATGTGATAAAATACCGAAGAATGTTAATACTCAATACTTCCATCAACTTTACGAGCTTATTGTAAATTGACTTTCGATAAAAGAGAAATAATTAGAAACCTGATGTATATAATATCAATTAAATAATACACTTATTTTATTTTCTGTTTAAATTATTAAATGTTATAAAGCTGTAACGAAAATTTGATTGTTGGTACAATTATTAAATTATATAATTAATACTATTTACTAAGAAAATACAACTTTCTTTAATGCAAACTAATTTATAATTATTAATCAGTTATTGCTACAATCTTAAGATATAAATGGTAAAGTTTAAAACTATGCAAGGGACAATAAACAAAAGTAATTAGTTCAAAAAACTAATTTTCAGTATTTGCTTGGGAGATGGCGCAGCGACAAAATAATTATACGTGTGTATCTACTATATTACTAATTAATATAATTAAAACTTGAATATAATCCTTAGCAGACTCTAAACTAAACATTTTATTAATTAGTTATTATCAATTAATACCCTAATTATAAACTCATGGTTACTGCAGCGCTAATATGCTTGAACTATAAACTTTGCTATGGTACCAAAAGATGGCCAAAAAATATATATTATAGTCTGATTAGGTCTACATCGTAAGCCCGACAACCGAATGACCGACTATTGAAATCCCGACTATATCAAAATCTCGACAAACATAATCACAACTATATCAAAATCCCGACTATTTACAATAACATTTTTAAATTATTTCGGAGCGTAGTCACCTTGTGCTACACTTTTATTATTAATAACAATAAATCATTAATTTTGTTGAATTATTTATAATAAACCTTAACATTATGAAATAATCTCAAATAGAATTAGATTATTAATTGTTATTATTTATCATTGATAGCAATTTAAAAGTTACTACGCTCCGGAATAATTTAAAAATGTTAATGTAGACATTTTCGATATAGTCGGGATTTTGATACAGTCGGGATTATGGTTGTCGGGATTTCGATACAGTCGGGATTTCGAACGTCGGGATTTCAATAGACGCTCTTTCGGTTGTCGGGCTTGCGATTGCCACCGAGTCTGGTCACAAACCGTTTTATTTATCAAAAAGTTTATTGTTCATAAATGTATAGATTCAGTTGATTACATTGCTTCAATAATTAAGTTGTGATTAGTTGAAGAAGTATATGAAGCACCAGGTAGCGGTAATTAATGGAAGTATAGAATTATGTAATTTAATTACTTTGTAATTCATTAAAATTATGTAAAATATTGCTTAAATATGAATAAAGAAGAAAAAATATATTTGATTGCAGGTTTGAAGTAAAACAGACTTTTCTCATTATTGCTGTTGCAAATTATATTTGTTATTTATATAAATAATAAATCAGAAATCAATTAATTTGAATTATAAATTTTTATCATATTTAAATAATTAACCATTAAATGTAATGACCGAGTTAAAAACTTTATTAGTAATAAAACTTTAATTAGCTATAGCCAATATCCATTTATTTTTAATTTACTAATTGTACACTAAACGTATTTTATTTCTACGTATTTACGCTTTTATTTTTATATATATAATAACTGCAATTGAAACCATGGCAACAGAAGCAATTACCATCTAGTATTCTGCGCCATCGATTTTGTTTGCATTTGACAAAAGCTGAGCAGAAGAAATGGATTGAATTCCAACGCGGTTTCCATGATACCAAATACAACAATGGAAAAGGGATAAGCTTGCATCCAGATGTACCTTGAATTTATTTATAGCTTTACAATTACAATCAATCAATTGAAACGTTAACTGAACGATGAACGGGGTGTTTCCCTTTAGACATTCCAATGCCACGCCAAAATTGGGATTAAAGGGTTTAATTCCCCAGACGGCCTCAACCTTCGGGGATCTCGACTCGCGGATACCAGACCTCCGAGAACAATGATACTTGTACCGCTCCTACCATCCCCTAGTACTTCTTGTTGTTATTATTATTATTCGAATTCTGATGTAGACAACAAGAGTAAGTTTATAAATAGAAGCGCTGGATTTGAACGCCAACTGAGAAACTTCAAATAACGTCCAATTTTCCGTTACATTACGTAACTTGCATTTTCCTAATGAAGAGTTATATTTCACTTAATTAGAACTCCATTTATATGTCAAATTAATTAAATGTCTGTGAATTTGACATAATGTATCAAATTTCTTAAGTAATATCAATTTTCATTTGTTTCTTTATATAATATTAGGTTACTTAGATCATATTTTAATCTTAGTTACATCCAAATAAAGTACGTGTTACATTTCATTTTTTTTTTCAATTTTTATCATTTGGAATCGATCCAACCATTTATTTTATAATTATGTAACAACATTTTTGTTTAATTTTTCTAAAAGTGGCAAAACATGTTTATGTAACTTGTATAATCATCACCTAAGTAACCAAATAAAGTAATTTGTTTCATAACAGTGTTACTAACATTAAACAAATGAACCAATTTAAGGTAGTAGATAATGCGATCAAAAAGTATATGTATTTGTTTATGATTTTTATATATACAATAAATCTTACAATACTAATACAATATTAAGGATGTTGGAAAAGTTGGTGGATTAAGAAACTGCGGAAAGTTTGAAAGTCTTAATTATAGTTTCAGCGAGAGGAGTGCAAAGGAACGTTCATGAACTATGTAGACTTTAAGTATAATAAGGAAACTTGGTAAAGTATAAATAGGAAACCAAAACTTTCTTTAAATCGAGTTCAGTTTTTTTTTATACGAAAACTTTGAATATGCAATATTTCATGTGATCGGATTTTTAAATTTAACAAACAAAAAAAAATCATTTTTCATTTTATAAAACAATTAATTTACTTCGGCTTAATAAATATCAATAAATTCAGTTTTCTTAGTCTGGAAAACTTTTGGATTTATTGTCATAAAAATCTATTATGGAAATGGTCAAAATTTAAGGTCACTAAAATATTGGACGTAATTCTGGTAAAGGTAACAATTTCGTAATAATAAAAAACAAGTAATAGTTGAAAAATTCCTTTTATTTGTTGATAAAATGATCATAATATAAAAATATAAATTTGCTTACCTTCCATCAATTCGTATCTTCTTTGATTCACTGAACACTACAAAAGATAAGGAAAGCGATGAAGTGCATTGGATAAAATAATGAAATATCTCGTTAAAAATGCATCAACTTGATGAGATGCATTTTTTTTTAGTCTTGTGCAAATAATAGGGAAATCGATTTGGGATGCAAATGTATCTGTGGAAAGTCATCAAATTAGTACACTTGAATGTGATGAATGTAGTAAAAGTTGTATGTGCAATGTAACCGATGAAACATAAACAAAAAATCAGGATAAACATTTATTTGTTAAATTTTAATTTTACATTACATGTAATATTAAAACAACAAACGCATCGAACTTAGTACCTACAAAATAGTACGAAAGTAAAATGTATAAATATGAGATCAAAGAGTAATTAAGTAGTTAGTAGTAGTAGTAGAGTTAGGTTACAAGGATTATACAAAACTGTGCGTTTTGAAGCACCTAGAGAAATGTCTACGAAATACAATTCCATTTTGAAATCATGTTAAAAATAATTTTTCTTTTGCACATTCGTTCAGCGAACTAAATCTTCAATATATATATTTCTGTTATATAAGCGTTTGCAATAGAGACAATGAAAACTATAACACTAAATTTATGACGAATTCAAGGAAATGTTAAGTATTTACTTCTTTTTTTTTATTTAATTAATATTCTTAAGATTTTTTTTTGTGTTTTGTTTCTTTACATTTAAATTATTTTGTTTTGCTGCTGCTGTTTGGTAAATATGTTTTTTATTTTTATATACTGTTGTTTGTATTTTTTTTTTTGAGTTGTTGCTGTAATTTAATAGATTATTATTATTATTACGAGAACAGCACTGTTTATCATAATAATTTATACGGAGTGGAGTTTTGGATGCATGTCGAAGCTCTCTTCTCTTCACTTTTCGGCCTCGTTATCTTTGCGAGCCATGTGACCCCGGAACGACGCCTGTATTTTAACTGCGGCCTTGCTTAACTCGGGATCCGTTAGGTCGATATCCAGCTCCTCAGCGTTCTCGTTACTGATCTGCAAACATTTACACACACACACGAAAAAAAGTAATGAAAAAAATAATTTCTCTTTAGGTTTCTAAACTCACAGGTCCTTCATCGTCGGGTTTGCCTTCTTCCTTAACTTTTCGTGCCATGTGGCCGCGAAATGAAGCCTGGATCTTCGTCGCGGCATTGCAGAGCTCTGAAAAAAAAAACAAGAGATATTTCCTCATTTCAGTTTATTTTGCGTTCACACAATGGAAAAGCAGATTGATTGAATTTGATATGAGGTTTGATGATTTTTCGTTTCTTTTTGAGGTGGAAAACGTGGGTTTTGGGCACGTCTCGAACGCATTTCTCACCGAAGACAATGATCTATGGTTCTCGTTCATTTATGACACGTGCTGCAAATTGCGAATTGCCCACGGGATCCATACGTTTCGCACGGCTAACCGAAACCGCCACTAATTAAAGAAACATCCTTAATTGCCAACAATTCATGATAATTTCAAATTGCTGTCGATTTATGTGCCTCTGTTATATGAGAAATACGTATAAATATGACTGAATAATTCAAACACATTTAAATGATTGGTTTTGCCTTGTTTATACCTAAATTACAACCATATTTATTACATGGATTTACATAATTTATTGAAATTATATAAATATATAAATTTAATCGAATCAACTTACGTTCAGAACGAATTCAGAACAAAACATCAAGTTGAGATGAGCAATACCTCATCTTCTATAGATTGAAATTAATAATTCCATTTGAAAATTTTATGTAGTAAATCCGGACAGATCGAAGTATTTCTGTACTGTTTTCGTATAAGAATGTAAATACCATTTCTGAACTTAAAACTTCTATAGATTGAAAATAATATTTCCATTTTCAAATTGCAATATTTTACACTTGTATACACTTTATGAATTTTAGATATGTACATTTTTCATATAGAGAAACTGTGCAGTTGAATTTACATTTATATTTTGAATATTTATAAGCTTTTTAAAGTTTGGTATAATCTCTTTTGATGATAAAAATAAATAAAAAAGTATCGTATCTAAATTAATTCCATTTGCATATTATTTCATCCTATCACTGCTTTACGTTCAAAGTCTAATGTATGCTATTAGGATAAAAGTTTCAAATAAAACATAAACTATGATTTGAATATTTATTTCATGTTTTAAAGCTTTTAATAGTTTGTTTTTTTTTTCATGTGAAAATTTCTAATATTTTATAACTTTATATATTATTTTATTTAATATTTTTTAGATAAAAAGCTTAATTAAAATAATTGTGAATTTAATAATTTTTCATTTTCTTGGTTCGATATATCAAAGATTCTTCAATTTAGCATAGTTTTTTTTTGTAAATAGACTTAAGAAAACTTGGAAAGTAAATTTCTGTTAGATTATTTCTAAAGTTTTAATTACAATTGGTTTTATGTCTAATATAAATTAGTTTTATAAATTATTATGAATATTTTAAACGATGTTTTCTGATTTATAATGTTAATTGAGTTGCCTATATTTGAATAATTTCAATGTTTGCTTACATCCAAATATCAATTTTTTATTATTGCAATAATAATATAACTTATTCAGATTTAAATATTTTCTTTATTTTGTTTCTTTATGAAATTACATATAAGTAATGATAGTTAAGTCATGCTGCTTAAAGTTAATTGTTAGTTAGTTATACAGAGTGCGGCAGAGAAATAGACGATTATTATAATCGATTCTCAAGATGACTAACAACACTTTGTTTTCAGCATTAAAGTATTTAGAAAAGATCAAAAATTGAAGACTTTCTACTTTTTTTTCGCCTTTTTCCTTATGAAAGACTAGTAATGATAGTTTTTCGCATGATGATTTAACTTAACTATGTTAGATTGATTGCTTGTACAGGATGCAGCAGAGAAAAAAGCAATTATCAATATTGAAGACTTCATACTTTTATTTGTCTTGTCTCTTATAAAATACTAAAAATGATAGCTTTTTCCATGGTCATAGTTAATTATTTTGGTTTAATTGCATTTTGAAAACTTATACATAAAAATGCACTAAGTGGGGCAAAGAAACGGAGAATTATAAGAATTCATGCTATCCATGTATTTTGATTATCAACGCTTTATTTTTAGCACTATAGTATTTAGAAATGATCAAAATTGAAGATTTTATACTTATTTTTTCGACTTCTTTCTTATGAAAAACGAGTAATTATAGTTTTTTGCATGATGATTTAATTAAACTATGTTGGATTAGTTGCTTGTACAGGATGCAGCAGAGAAAAAAGCAATTATCAATATTGAAGACTTCATACTTTTATTTGTCTTGTCTCTTATAAAATACTAAAAATGATAGCTTTTTCCATGGTTGTAGTTAATTATTTTGGTTTGATTGCATTTTGGAAACTTATACATAAAAATGCACTAAGTGGGGCAAAGAAACAGAGAATTATAAGAATTCATGCTATCCATGTATTTTGATTATCAACGCTTTGTTTTCAGCACTATAGTATTTAGAAATGATCAAAATTGAAGATTTTATACTTATTTCTTCGACTTCTTTCTTATGAAAGACTAGTGATGATAGTTTTTCGCATGATGATTTAACTTAACTATGTTGGATTAGTTTCTTATAAAATACTAGTAATTATAGTTTTTTGTATGGTTATAGTTAATTATTTTGGTTTGTTTGCTTTTTATAAACTTTTACATAAATATAAACGGGATGCGACAGAGAAACGGGCGATTATAAAAATCCATATTTCTAAATTATCTACGTTTTTATTTCAGGATTATAGAATTTAAAATGATTAAATTTCTAAACTGAGCTTTTAGCTTTTATAATCGACCTTTATACAATTTGACTTTTAAGTTTCATGTAAAGTTATGTTTGTTTGTTATTTACCTTTATCATCTGCACGGAACTCTTCCTCGAGTTGCTCCCTTGTAGGTTCCGGTTCCGGCGCCGGCTCGGTCTTGGTGATCGAAGGTTTGTCGGACTGCTTCATGCTTTTCCTCGTCTTGTGTCCCCTGAAAGCCGCCTGGATCTTAACAGCCGCTTGCTCCTCGTCCGCACCTGACTCGTCCTCCAAAGGTACGCTCTCGTTCACCTGACTCTTCTCTTCCTTCTCCTCCTTTCCTTTGCTCGCCGTCGAGTTCGGTCTGCTTATCGATTTCAGCGTCACCGTTTTTGCAGAGGCTGTATTATTATCTGGAACAATAATGGACCACGTTCATACGTAGGTTGTAGTTGATCGGTTTGCGCGTAAACGCGCATGTTTCAGTCGCGAAACGTGTAGACACACAAAACATTCAATTATAAATATATCCAACTGCGTTCCTCTGCATGTGCCACATATTAATTATAGGTTTTCGCACCGATCAATAGATTCGAATTTAATTCCCGCAAAATGTGCGAATCTTCCTCATCCCATCATTATACATTCTCATCTGCCACGGACAGCATCAATTTCATGCATTAATATTATATATTTTTTTAATTAACTTTATTAATTACGATTTAATTAATCTTCATGTTCAACGCCAACTCTATTTTTGCTTCAATATAATAAAAATATATACCAACATTGTTTATGATCACATTTCCACTTTATAGCAATTTCATGTCCTCCTGACAAAACCATAAAGAAAATGTCATTCAACTAAAAAGCGCAATATTTCAACAACACATTTCCTTTATAACAGACACATTCAATTTCCCTTTTTTTGTTTCAATTTCAATTATTAATTACAATCTAATCAATTTTACATCAATTATGAATCTCTATTTTATCTATAAATATCATTTTGTATCTTTCTGACAAAGAAATTGTACACCATAGAAAATATATTTTGTTACAAAATTTCCAATTTGTCAACTAACATAATTCAATCATTATTTTCAAGTTTTTTTTTAAATTTACGTTCTTGAAAATCTCCATTTTTCAAAATTCAACATTGTTTTCCATAAAATGTCTACTTTAAAGCATATTTTATATCTGTGTGACATGTAGTACGTATTGATCACAACTAGAAAATGTTATTCGCGTCGCAAACTGCGGCCTTCCATAATGTATACGTTTTACGAGAAGAGAAGGAATAGAGATGATGCTTTCTGCGTTGAAACCTCCTGAGAAATACCACTAACACCGTTCGATTTATGGAGTGCTTCTCGCATTTTCCATTATCCCGTTGTTTCTCCCATGAATTACACGCAAACAATAGCTCATTCAGATCAAAAGCGTGCACAGTGCGAAGCCGAGAAATGCAACAAATCTCAATATTTTCACTCTCCGGAAAGGCTAATTTATTTCAATGTTGTTCTTCTGCATTGTGTTGCTTCCTAAGAGAATTTAGTTTTTATATAATCTGAAAACTCTCCTGAAGTTACTTTGTTTTGTGTGTCTCTGAAGAGAATGTTGCAAACACATTCCTCTGTTTCATAATGCTGCGGCATTTGATAGTTTCTGGCTATGCACATACGCACGAAATTTGTTTACATCAAATATTCCCTTCCGACTTTCTCCAATCTTATGCATTGTTATATTAATAAACTGTGCGCTGTGTGTGCTATGCACATGTAATTATTTGCGAGTCGGTTGTGAGTCTAGTTTGTGGACTTGGCAAGAGTGAGGAGGAGGTTTGGTAATTAGGTTTCGCTCTGAAGGGAAGAACCGTAGGTTTAATGAGTGTATAAATTGGAAGGAGCAGGAATGTTTAAGTGTTTAAAGTGCTGGAATTAGGCCGTCAGTTAGTTGGTTTTTGTCGAGTCTAGGCCTACTCGACGATATTTATCTCAGCTTTCTTTCGGATATTTATTGCGAATTCCATTTAAGACCTGCGATTTATTCTTCTTCTTAAATTGCTTTTCTCAAGAAACTGAGCTATCTTTAAGCAAGTCTCAGTTGTTTTTCCCCGACTCTGTCACAATAAATAACTTTTTCCTTTTTTTTATGTTGTATAGGTGAAAGAAACCCAGCATTTTTTTAAATAGAATTATTTTTCAAAGGAAATTAGAACAATCTTAAATCTTCTAAATTGAATTATTGTTCAAAGAAAAAATTATATTAATATTACATTAAACATAATAAGAAAATTGGATATTTTGATTTCATCCATTTTGTTGCAATTTGCTTTCAAAAATGAAATGTGATTTTCTCAGAAACTATTGAATACATCAAAAAGAGAAATATTTAAGGAATCCAACGTGCATTCAATTTGCTGGGGTTTTGGACATTTGATTGTAATTACCATTAACGCCGAAGGAAGTAGCGTCTTCACATTTTAGTGACTTTGTCAAAAACTATAATATATAGAATGTATCCAAAAGATGCGGATCAAAGTTGAATATTTTGGGAATGCAACTTATATTGAATTATTATTATGATTTCATCAATTTGGCTGTAATTCGCGTTCAAATATGCATATGAAAGTTGAATAATTGGGGAATGTAGCGAGTATTGAATTATTGCTGTTGTGTCTCAATTTTTGTGTAATTTGCGTTCAAAAATGAAGTGATGAAAAATGTAGGCTGGAAATACAGTATCTTCACATTTTAGTGATTTTATCAGAAACAATAATAGAAAGAATGGATCCGAAAGATGTATAGGATAGTATAGGAATACAATGGGTTTTCAACTATTACAGTGGTTTCATCCATTTAGTTGTAATTTTGAATGAAAATTATTGATCTTATTAGAATAATAATTGGATCGATAATCCATCGAACTTCATGCAAACTTTGTCTCCATTTAAAACAATAATGTTTGCTTCTATGTTGGGAAAATCTAATTATCAAACTTGTTTCGGGTTCTTGAACACACACTCACCCACACACACAAAGTGGAGGATAAATCCGTCGTGTGCAAGTACAAAAAGTGGAAGTGGCGAGAGCACACACCTATACAGAACCAAGGCACAAAGAGTAAGGTAATTCAAAATACGCCGAGGAAGCTTTCAGCGAGAGAGGACGAAGAGTACAAAAAAATCGCATAAAGGGAATCCCACTACAGAAGTTTGCTTATACCGAAGCAGCGTAATTTTTTTTGGCGTGCGGAATATTTTCATATATTTATAAGAATTGTGCGCATACAAAAAAAATGTATGTGAATTGTGCACAATAATTGTGTTATATAATGTTAGTGCGCAACGTTACGCTCTCTATTTATTGATGACGCAATTAGAGTTGTGCTCGAGGCGATGTTTTATGCATTCCCTCAGAGAATAGGTAAATCGTGAGAGAAGAGTAAAAAAAGGAAGTGTCGAGTGAAGAAGAAAAATGAAACCGGGAACCGCAGAATTAAGTAATGCATAATGCAAAAAAATACGTTACGTAAAATATTAGAAATTGTGTTGTTTTCTCGTGTCGATTGTTTGATTGATTTTCTGCACAAAATGATACGTATACGTGGGATATGATTAGAGGTTAAATAAATAAGCGTTGTCACGAGGTAAATGCTCTAGATTTGTGCCGGGGGCGCCGCTCCTGCCTGAAATGACCTTTTGACCCGTTTCCACTATACCTACATACACATATATATATATATGTTGTGTATACATGTGGGATGGTTTTGGGTGGCGGTTTTGCACGAGGTTTAAACATTTTAAGGATGATATAGCGTATAGCGTAAACCGCTCCTCCAATTAGGACATCGTTAGCTCGCGGGGGTTGATGAATAATGCGCGGGATGAAGAAAGATCGGTCTCAAATCTAACCTTTCGTAATTGCGTTTAATCGTGAGTTATTTATTCGATGTTTGTGCCAGTACATTTCAATTTTGTGAAAAAACTCATTCACCTCAATTAGATAAAAAAAAAAGACAAGCTGTAAATACATTTTTGTTATTAATGTGTTGCTAGGTTATTAATAATCTTTATTTCTTAATATCGGTAGAAACAAATGTTAGTAATTATTCCTTTATTTTTTTTTTATTAATTATAATTATTTTTATGTTGTTATATCTATTTTTTTTTCCTCTTTTGGTCCTATTTCTATCCCTTTCGGGTTTATCGGCCCCCACAAATTTTATTGGTTTTTTGGGAATCGAACCAACGACTTTTCGTATCAGATTTTCGTGGTACAGGCGTGATATTGTAATAATTATTTATTGTGT